GAATAAAAGTCTTTTTTCCCCTATTTATTCCTATTTTTATAGAGCGAGGGTGGAAGAGAGGAGGAGGCAGAGAGAGGAGAGAGAAAGAGATGAGAGAGAGAGAGAGAGAGAGAGAGAGAGAGAGAGAGAGAGAGAGAGGTGGGAGACTCAATTGATTGCCTCCTGCATGTACCCCAATGGGGTCGGGATTGAACCTGCAACCCAGATACATGCCCTTGATGGAGAATTGAACCTGAGACCCTCCAGAGTGCAGGCCAATGTTCTAACTATTGAGCCAAAACTTGAATGTTTCTAAAGAGGAGGAATAGTACATAGGATTAAAATGAGGATATTTTTATTCAGCTTATAAGCAAATAGAACAGTGCCTCACTTCAAACATAGGTCATTTAATCTTGTTGCTTCTCCAATGATAGAAGGTTTAAACATACACTTTATGGGTGTGGCTATGGAGAAAAAGTGAACTTTTAGGTGTTAATTTTTCAAAGTTAAAATTCACACACTTTTTGAACCAGTTATTCAATTCCTCTGAAATTATTCTCCCTCATAAGAATAGGGAGGTTGATAATGACAAAAATGTGATGTAGAATGAAGCATCATTCATGAGAGCAAAATATGGAAACCACCTAGAGGTGCATGAATAAGGGTCAAGTTAAATTATTCTGAAAATGCTTCTATTGGAATATTATGCACACATTAAATGATGTGGGGGCATCACAAATAGAATGATGTTAGTTACTCTAAAATACATTCTTTGACAACAAGTAAAATCTAGTCATCAATGTGTGATTTCTAGAGTAACTTATAACATCTTTGTTTAAAAATAAAAACAGAGATAAATGATAGATAGATAGATACACTTGAACAAGCACATAGTATATCTGGAAGGAGCATAAAGGAATTAGGAATTGTTGCTCTGGAGAGAGGGACTGGGCTTGGGAATGTAGGAAAGACTTAGTTTTAGACTGATTATAATTATTTATATGCACATTTTAAGAATCTCCTACATGAAAAGTGAAGGAATGACAGCATAGGTAGAAATGATGGCTGTGAGTGAGACAGGAACTTCTCCACCTTGGAGAATAAGGCATGTGTGCTGATCTTGTCCTCTTAGATTTGGAAAAGGACTTGAGCATGGCAGTACAAGCAGAGGGTGCTCTGTGATGAGAGGGGCAGGAGATGAACCACAAGCTACTCTGGGGGCCAGGCCAGGGGTAGCTGTGTGCCCCTGTGAGAGCCCTGAGAGCCCATGTAGTGGATGTTCCTGGGCACACTCACCCGGTACTGGTCTGACAGCACAGAGATGTCCAGTTCAAAGGGTTGGCCATCCTCAAAGGTCATAACAGAGGATCTCACTTCTTCACCCCAGGTCCCACCGTGACGGCTGTTCATCACCACCTCTTTGCCAAAGTACACGCGGAAATAGAAGGCGATGTCTGAGTCCACTTGAGTTCCAGTGAAGAAATCCACCTCCATTTCTGGGAACATACTGAAGGCAAAGCACACAGCATGTTTGTCAGGACTCTTCCTCATGGGGCCCACATTCAACACACCTTACACACCCTCCCAACTCCTCCTGGGGGAAGGAAGGCCTTCCTGGGTGAGACTGCAGCACGTGTCCCTGTGGGGCTGCTTCAGCTTGTCCGGCCGAGGTGGGGAATGCCTCATCCTCTTAGCCCAGGACTCACACTGAGCAGCAGTCACTGGCCTGGGGCTACTTTTCATGCCCTGGAAACACTGTGTCCCTTGATAATAAACCTCAGTCCAATGCCTGAGTGACTCCAGCCCCGAGACTTCACCACTTGCCCACAGACATGCACCTGTAGGTTTAATGCCTGGCACCATATGGGTCTCCAGGAACTGCA